TCATCCAGAGAAGGATAATGGGAGGAGATGGTCACGATCCTCAGATACTATATACTATCTTAGAACTTATATCTGAAGGTGGGTAGCGCATTTACGTTGTAGATGTCTATGGGCTCCAGTAACCACTTAAGGTGGCTGTGAGATCGTCCACCCATCTAAGCAATAAAAAAAAACATGAGGAATGCGACTCAAGGAGGAGAGGGAGGAGATTTCTCTTACCGATTACGTTTAAGCAGATACTTTAAAAGGCTAATTTTTATTTTCGTTATTCGTAAGCGACAGCCCTACCGGCTCATACGGGCAGCGTTGTATATATAAATAAAACTTGAACTATTTGTTACAGTTAGAATGCGATATCGGACAAAACACAACGTGCACGTAAAGATTGGCCAGTACGCGAATTGTTTGCGAAAGAATTAGTTAAATAAATCAGTGCAATTTTTTATTTTAAAGTGGTGCGTTTTTGATACATGTGGTAAGGAATTAAGAGCACTTTTAACATCATGGTTGTAACTTAATATCGTTTGGGTTTTGTCTTGGTCAAAGCCGGTTCGCTTTGCTGACGGATCTTTGATTTGATTTCGGTCTGATCGTTACAGAATAGGAGAAATTGCTAGGCCACTTTGAAGATTACCCGAAAATTTCAACGAAATCGGGTATTACAAGAAGCAAGCTTCACACACATCAAATCTTATTAATGAAGCATTATAGTCGTTGTTCTTCGCGTGTCGTAAATCTGATTAAAGCGTCGGTAGGCAGCGGCTTGGCTCTGTCCCTGGCATTGCTGAAGTCCATGGGCGACGGTAACCACTCACCATCAGGTGGTATGCTCGTCTGCCTACAAGGGCAATAAATAAATAAAAGCTTTTGGCTACATCTAGTTAACCCTTTGACTCCCATGTAGGTCACCGATGTCCTACGTGGCGTTTTGAGGCAATAATGTCGATNGATTAAAGCGTCGGTAGGCAGCGGCTTGGCTCTGTCCCTGGCATTGCTGAAGTCCATGGGCGACGGTAACCACTCACCATCAGGTGGTATGCTCGTCTGCCTACAAGGGCAATAAATAAATAAAAGCTTTTGGCTACATCTAGTTAACCCTTTGACTCCCATGTAGGTCACCGATGTCCTACGTGGCGTTTTGAGGCAATAATGTCGATTTCTATTACTAAGGCGCCGGAATATCCAGTAGACTCTGGGAAAGACGAATCCGAAGATACTGAGATTTCTAAGAGACTGTGCGCGTGTGCAACCTCTTTGACAGGACATAAGACATATTTACGCATATTTACTGGTGGTAGGACCTCTTGTGAGTCCGCACGAGTAGGTACCACCGCCCCGCCTATTTCTGCTGTGAAGCAGTAATGCGTTTCGGTTTTAAGGATGGGGCAGCCGTTGTAACTATACTGAGACTTTAGAACTTATATCTCAAGGTGGGTGGCGCATTTACGTTGTGGATGTCTATAGGCTCCAGTAACCACAACGACTAGACATAGACTAAAGACAGAGAATTGACAAGAATTTGAAAAGAAACTAAGTGTGAAATGCAATGGAGACGTGACTAGCGGCAGGCAGTACTTTTAGTGCCTTCCTCTAAGATGGACACGAACCACACGACAAGGAACGAATTGACCGTTCTCATATGTGAATAAAATAGACGACAAAAGAACTAACCGATCGTTTAGAGACCTAAAAGACAAAAAATACATTAACAAACCAAAGAAGGCAAAGTTAGGCAATCCAGACACCTTTGTAACAGAAATCGATAATTTACTTTAGTACGCTGCGTAGGGCACCGGTGACCTACCTACACGACAATGAAAAGACTGAACTATTCGCGTTAAATTGTTAATTAAAAGTTAACAATATATGGCCTATTTCTGCCGTGAAGCAGTAATGCGTTTCGGTTTGAAGGGTGGCGCAGCTGTTGTAACTATACTGAGACCTTAGAACTTATATCTCAAGGTGGTTGGCGCAATTACGTTGTAGATGTCTATGGGCTCCAGTAACGACTTAACATCAGGTGGGCTGTGAGCTCGTCCAGCAATCTAAGCAATAAAAAAAAACTTTTGTAAAGACTGCAAATAATTCGTTATACCCCACCGTGTATACAGTACCGAAGCATACCACAATCTTTATACGATTGAAGCTGGCATTATGTCTCATCCAGTAATGCCCATGGACCACAGTAACAATTTTGATGTTCAGGAACTAACAGTCCCATCCAAACGTTTATTTACGTAATTATCTGAAGTTTTATCTCGTATTCATCTCGAGCTTAAGAGCCATTTAGATTTTAATCAGTGTTCACACGGGACAATGTTTGCCATTAGATTTTAGCGGCACATCCTAAAAAGACTTGGATGGATTGTGTGAAGGAGGATATGCGTGAGAAGAGTGTGATTGTACAGTTGACGCGTGATAGATTTGAATGCGAAAAGGACATTCTGCTCCGACTCTACGTGGTCGAATAAGGTTACCTAAATTCTTGTGGAGACTTCTTAACGTTAGACAGCGGCTTGACTCTGCCCCTATAATTGCTGACGTCCATGGGCGACGGTAACCACTTACCATCAGGTGGGTTGTGTACCCGTCTGCATACAAGGGTAATAAAAAAAACGTGCATATGCCAGCTTACTGACACTATATAATATCTGATATAGAACCGAGTCTTCATCAAGTGGGAGCTAATCTGGCATTTTTTGGAAGAAATATCTCGTAAAAATATAGTATTCGTAGCTTAAGCCCCGTTGCATTAATGTAATTTGTCGTCGTGGTCTAAAGGATAAGACGTCCGGTACATTCGTGTTGAGCGATGCACCGGTGTTCGAATCCTGCAGGCGGGTACCAATTTTTCTAATGAAATACGTACTCAACAAATGTTCACGATTGACTGCCAGGGTGAAGGAATAGCATCGTGTCATAAAAATCAAACCCGCAAAACTATAATTTGCGTAATTACTGGTGGTAGGACCTCTTGTGAGTCCGCACGGGTAGGTACCATCACACTGCCTATTTCTGCCGTGAAGCAGTAATGCGTTTCGGTTTGAAGGGTGGCGCAGCTGTTGTAACTATACTGAGACCTTAGAACTTATATCTCAAGGTGGTTGGCGCAATTACGTTGTAGATGTCTATGGGCTCCAGTAACGACTTAACATCAGGTGGGCTGTGAGCTCGTCCAGCAATCTAAGCAATAAAAAAAAACTTTTGTAAAGACTGCAAATAATTCGTGATACCCACCGTGGTTACAGTGCCGAAGCATACCACAATCTTTATACGATCGAAGCTGGCATTATGTCTCATCCAGTAATGCCCATGGACCACAGTAACAATTTTCATGTTCAGGAACTAACAGTCCTATCCAAACGTTTATTTACGTAATTATCTGAAGTTTTATCTCGTATTCATCTCGAGCTTAAGAGCCATTTAGATTTAAATCACCATTTAGATTTAAATCAGTGTTCACACGAGACAATGTTTGCCATTAGATTTTAGTGGCACATCCTCAAAAAGACTTGGATGGATTGTGTGAAGGAGGATATGCGTGAGAAGAGTGTGATTGTACAGTTGACGCATGATAGATTTGAATGGGAAAAGGACATTCTGCCCAGACTCCGCGTAGGCGAATAAGGGTACATGAATTCTTGTGGAGACTTCTTAACGGTAGACAGTGGCTTGATCCTGCCCCTATAATTGCTGACGTCCATGGGCGACGGTAACCACTCACTATCAGGTGGGTTGTATACTCGTCTGCATACAAGGGTAATAAAAAAAACGTGCTTAAAAAAACCAGCTTACTGACACTATATAATATCTGATATAGAACCGAGTCTTCATCAAGTGGGAGCTAATCTGGCATTTTTTAGAAGGAATATCTCGTAAAAATATAGTATTCGTAGCTTAAGCCCCGTTGCATTAATGTAATTTCTCGTCGTGGTCTAAAGGATAAGACGTCCGGTGCATTCGTGTTGAGCGATGCACCGGTATTCGGATCCTGCAGGCGGGTACCAATTTTTCTAATGAAATACGTACTCGACAAATGTTCACGATTGACTGCCACGGTGAAGGAATAACATCGTGTAATAAAAATCAAACCCGCAAAGCTATAATTTGCGTAATTACTGGTGGTAGGAACTCTTGTGACTCCGCACGGGTAGGTACCACCACTCCGCCTATTTCTGCCGTGAAGCAGTAAAGCTTTTCGGTTTGAAGGGTGGGGCAGCCGTTGTAACTATACTTGAGAACTTAGAACTCATATCTCAAGTTAGGTGGCGCATTTACGTTATAGATGTCTATGGGCTCCAGTAACCGCTTAATACCAGGTGGGCTGTGAGCTCGTCCACCCATCTAAGCAATAAAAAAAATGTAAGACCGTGTCGAAATAAACCGGATATCTCTATCTCTTTCTAAAGAGAATATTAGAAGAGGAGTCGCACCGTCATCTCTTCGTCACCGTCTGCCACTCTGCCTCATACCGTCCGACTCTGGAATGAACTTCCCTCCATGTTGTTTCCTGGCTGCTTTGACATATGAATTCAATTCATCAATGAATCAATTCATTAGCTCAATTCGTTATAAATTCGAACGAGATTTAAGCTGTGCCCCTGGAATTGCTGTTGTCCACGAGCGATGGTAACCACTGACCATCAGGGCAGCTGTACCTACTGCCTACAATGGCAATAAAAAAAGTTTGCTCGACTATTATAAGATATGCACAGATTATTGTATTAACATAATGTAATAATATGATGTCACGTCGGGACAATGTCACGATAGGATCAAATTTTGTACTGATACAATGGCCTATACTGAAATCAGTACACACAAGGATACATACACATACTTAGAACATTTGTATTACAGAGTAGGTCATATATCCGATCTCGAAAAAAATAAATGACAATAAATAAATTGTAGTATATCTTGTATATTTTAACATGGATTTTGATAATTAATTATTTTATTACAGGATTTGAAAATTACGGGAAAGCCACAAAAACAAAATGGCCGCTGTGAAGGTAAGTTTTTTTATTAAAACACAATTTAACTGTAAGATTTCTAAGATTTTAGCGTCACATCCTCCGTAGTCGATTTTGAAAACTTAATTTTGTTACTCTTGATCTCAATTTCACAAACAAAACTATAAAACAGATCTTTAGCTAGGTATGTGTAATTTCAGACGAATCTCTAAAGACAAATGGCGGCCGCCAAAATTCATTGTCAAAATTTATTTTGTCACTTTTGTTTCTGTCTCCAATTTTTTCCCGGACAAATCATGTCATTTATATATGGCGTGTCTGCGTAGTTTTGTCTCGGTCTAAGATATCTCCAATAATTTCTATTGGTATATTTAAAGGAAGCAGAGACAAGCTTCTGCCTACTGTTAAGTATTGTCCACAAGCTTCGTTTGAAAAAGGACAAATAGGTCATGTAGTTAAAAAATTTCATTTACAATAATTAACATTAAGAACAATAAATTAGCTAAAAAGCTCCCAATGATTGACAGACAAAACGATTCACTGATTAACACACAGTACAAATACAAACTCATAGTGAAATATACAAAATGGGGAACGCAGCCAAAAGTAACGCCATCTTATTTGTTTGCGGATCATTAATTTTAGAATCATAGCACAATACACAAAATATTCCGAAATCCAAAATACGTTTCTTGAAACTTGCAAATGTTCGCTGTTAGCTAATTGTAAAGCACAGTAAGATCGGTATTGTCTAGTGGTAGTGGTTACTGTAGATGGTTGCCGCAAGAGATTGAGGAGACCCAAAGTAGGGTATAGGGGAGGGGCTAATGGGGAGGTCTAGCTTTTTAAGTCGGCTTCCTAACTTAACTGACTTCCAAGCAATGGTACTTCTCATCTACGTGTGGCTGCTTTTTTATGTTTGAGAGATTACTGGTGGCCCGGAAGTCTTTTCAGTTTTACCAGGGTAGGGCGAGAGCAAGGGCTCAGCCAAGAGGGGTGAGATTTGCTAACAGCCACCCGAGCGCCTCCAAAGAATAGTTCGATGTGCAACCTAACCTAAGCATCAGTCCACTGAGTTTCTCGCCGGATCTTCACATTCGCATTTCCGACCCGTTGGTAGATTCTGCGAAGCACGGCTCTTGCTAGAGTTCGTGTTAGCAACGTCGTCAGGTTTGAGCCCTCGTGAGCTCACCTACTCGCCCGGAGAATCTAGTATAACCCCTCGACGTTACTAGAATAGATAGGAAGAGAAAAAATGGACCCTCGTTTTGCCATTGGGCGGATCCGATCGCAGGTCTACGGCTTATTGGTTGATTGATGTGTTTAAAAAGACAAAGACATGCGCTAAGTTAAGCTAAATCAAGTCCTCTAATTTATTATGGATTTTTATACATTTAACCACTGCAAGTGCCACTCGCTACCCATTATGTTAGGAGCGAAACCGAAATATTGCGACCGGCGTCATAAAGAAAGTGCCCTAAGTTTTGCTGGTGATAGGACCTCTTTTGAGTCCACACGGGTAGGTACCATCACCCTGCCTATTTTTGCCGTGAAGCAGTATGGCGTTTCGGTTTGAAGGATGGGGCAGTTGTTGTAACGGTATTGGGACCTTAGAACTTATATTTCAACGTGGGAGGCGTAATTTACGTTGTAGATGTCTATGGGCTCCGGTAACTACTTAGACAAAGGTGGGTTCTGAGATCGTCGTGAGATCTATGCAATAAAGTGAATGGAAAATAGATAAATACGTTTCAATGGACAAAACGCAAGCTGCCATTCTTAAATATTGCTTCGCTTACCTAAAAACAGCCTTATTACTCAGATACGATTGAACTAGAAGTCACGGTCCAAATACAAAGACGATTCGCAAAGTAAATTACATTTTCACGACGGTCATTAATCTGTGATGGAACTAATGTGGGTAATCTATGGCCTGTGACGTCACGTTTGTACGGTAGCAATAACTCTGTTATTCTCATCATTCGTTATATCTCAAGATTTGTTCGTCGTGGTTTACTATATAAACCTGATGAGACTATGCAGGCGTTGCCCGACCCAGTAACGGTCCTTTTAGGCACCACAAGTACCGGTCACCGTCCTCGTTGAACCCGTCGCTTGCGACGAAGGGCTCGACGAGCGAATTAACCCGTAGACTCAGCCCACTGAGTTTCTCGCCGGATTTTCTCATTGGGTCGCGTTTCCGATCCGGTGGTAGATTCTGCGAAACACAGCCCTCGCTAGGGCCAGTGTTAGCAACACTCCGGATTGAGCCCCGTGAGCTCACCTACACACGTTAGGGTGAAGCCGAAATAGCCTCTTAAGGCTATCAGCATAGGAAGGAAAAAAATATATTATCCATAAACTTTAGTAAAGGTTACCCCATTTCCGTTCCGATGCTCATTCACAAACAATGATTCGTTAACATCTCTTTGTTGCATTACGAATTAAATCGAGCCTGGTTCAACAATGAAGCGATTTATAATTAAAAAAATGAGGCAGTGAGTGTTTTCGTGTTTTATCGGTTACCTACTAAAAAATTTGAGTTTTTTTTTATTGCTTAGGTTGGTGGACGAGCTCACAGCCCACCTGGTGTTAAGTGGTTACTGGAGCCCATAGATATCTACGACGTAAATGCGCCACCCACCTTGAGATATAGTTCTAAGGTCTCTAGTATATAGTTACAACGGCTGCCCCGCCTTTCCGTGTGTCACGAATCGTCAGCGAGAGTGTTTCAGTTTAGCTGATTTGTGCTACATTGAACGCGTTTTATTATTTATATATACTATTTTGTTATTGGTATTCTTTTTAACCGACTTCAAAAAAGAAGGACGAGGTTCTCAATTCGACTCTATGTTTAATTTTTATTTTTTTACGTTTGTTACCTCATAACTTTTGACTGCGTGAATCGGTTTTTATGATTCTTTTTTTATTAGACAGCTGAGGCTTCCCGTGTAGTCCCATTTCAATTCAGTCCAGATCTGATAATGGTATACATGAGAAAACAATATAAGTCTTAAATTTGCATAAAGTACGTACGCGCGACAAATAGATGAATAACTCAATAACTCAATATCACGCCAACCGATTTCGATGTTTTTAGTGTATATTAATTTGTTTTGGAATATGTTTTTTTTTCTATTTGAAGTCGGTTTTTGTTAAAGCATTTATGTCTATTTACAATTCTTTATGTTATGTTATATATTAAACTGTACACCCAAAGTACTTGGGTACCCTTTGTATATGTATACCCTTTCACTTGGGTTCCGCATCGCAATATGTAATCACGTCTTATTTCTCACAGTTCGCTCCCATACCGTTGACCAAGACTATAATTTTAGAGTGGAATCTATCATAATCTAGTCTTTTAAGAGTTTATCAATAAGGGAACTGAGAATAAACGATAACTGTTGGTAAACCGTGTTATTTTGCTTCAAAATAACTTAATAGATTAAGGACCGGAGCGGTCCCTGTGGGTGGATACTATTACTTTGTCAAAACAAAATTAGCGGACCCTTGGGACCGCCGTAACTCACCTTTTATTTATTTATTGCTTAGATCAGATAGGTAGACGAGCTCAGAGCCCACCTAGTGATATCAGTTCTAAGGTCTCACTATAGTTACAACGGCTACCCCACCCTTCAAACCGAAGCGCATTATTGCTTTACGGCGGAAATAGGCAGGATGGTGGTACCTACCCGCGCGGACTCACAAGAGGTCCTACCACCAGTAAGAAAGTAGTACTAGATAATAGATAGAGACTTAACAGCCTTAATTATTTTTGTCTCAATGCCATTACAGTTTCAGAATAGGAACTTTTTAGTACTACGCGGTAGGGATAAGTGCTGATAGGTTTATTTGGCGTCCGCCTGTAGGGTTCGATGCTGGCATAGTCCGTAAATATGCGCACCGTATAGTAACTATACCCGTGAAACATTTTTCGTTACAGATGATAATAATTGCAGCAATCCTAACGGTTGTAACATGCGAACCTCCGGCGTCCTACAATTACCAACCGCCTGGGAACACCAACGCTCTCAACAATGGTTACCTACCCCCTAATACTGGTGAGTTAAAGGCTTAAGTTGCAGTTTGTAGCGTGCAGTGTGCTTATTGCGTTTTTTTTAACTTCTCGTTCGCGTAAAAGTTAACTCAAATTTGTCATTCCCGATCCTGCGAACAGAATGGAAAGCAGTCGACGTCGCCCAAAACACGTCATCTCGGATCCTCCCGATCCACTAACGGTGCTTTTAGGTACTTCAAGCACCGGTCACCGTTCTCGTCGAACCCGTCGCTTGCGACGAAGGGCTCGACGAGTAAATTAACTCTCAGACACAGCCCACTGAGTTTCTTGCCGGATCTTCTCAGTGGGTCGCGTTTCCGATCCGGTGGTAGATTCTGCGAAGCACGACTCTTGCTAGGGTTCGTGTTAGCAACATCGTCAGGTTTGAGCCCCGTNAGTTTCTCGCCGGATCTTCTCAGTGGGTCGCGTTTCCGATCCGGTGGTAGATTCTGCGAAGCACGACTCTTGCTAGGGTTCGTGTTAGCAACATCGTCAGGTTTGAGCCCCGTGAGCTCACCTACTAAAGTTAGGGTTACGCTGAAATAGCCGCTAGGGCTATCAGCTTAGGTAGGAAAAAAAAAAAAAAAAAAAAAAAATTGAACTGGCACATGAAATTGCATTCGGGCGTGTTCGGGCACAATCGGAATTCCCGAATACGCAGGTTTCACTAATAAATGTCAGTCGACAACAATCGCGCACCGCCGCGTGGAATAAAAATTTAATCTCTATACTAGTGGTCCCCGCAGTAGTCGAAATTCGACTATAATTAATTGAAATTATAAGTTTGTACATTATTATGATTCTATTTTCAAAGACAATAGACAAATATTAATAAAGACAAACAATATTTAATCAATTTTTTTTATTTTCTCTATTACATTATTTATTACAAATTGCTATAAACTTTGACGGCCATCTACATTGCAAATATTATCAATTATCATTGCTAATATCACCCTAATATAATATTAGAGGAAATAACAAATCACAACTTTCGCAACCGATGGTAGGACCTCTGGTAGTCCGCACGGGTAGGTACCACCACCCCGCCTATTTCTGCCGTGAAGCAGTAATGCGTTTCGGTTTGAAGGGTGGGGCAGCCGTTGTAACTATACTGAGACCTTAGAACTTATATCTCAAGGTGTGTGGCGCATTTACGTTGTGGATGTCTATGGGCTCCAGTAACCACTTAACACCAGGTGGGCTGTGAGCTCGTCCACCCATCTAAGAAATAAATAAAAAAAGATTGCCTTAAAAGTCAAGAGCACCACAAGACCTCGCCAGCTGGCATTTCGTTTTCGCTTGTGATATCAAGGTCTCGACTGTACCCTAGACTCCATAAATGTATTTTTTCAGCCCAGAGCTCACCTAGTTATAAGTCGCCGGAGCGTATGCACCGCCAGGTTTAATGTCACCGCCAATCTCGTGCCAATCGCACCTCCCACCATCGGAGCAGAGTTCATCCATATCATCTGGAACCGCTGCGTTCATCGACAGTGCATTTCCAGAGCTATTTTTTGCCACGTACCATCCGGCTATGGAATGAGCTCCCCTCCACGGTGTTTCCCGAGCGCTATAACATGTCCTTCTTTAAAAGTGGCTTGTGGAGAGTATTAAGCGGTAGGCAGCGGCTTGGCTCTGCCCCTGGCATTGCTGAAGTCTATTGGAGACGGTAACCACTCACCATCAGGTGGGACGTATGCTCGTCTGCCTACAAGGGCAATAAAAAAAAATGTGTTCTAATTCTCAGTCATGTATTGCCAATGGCGTTTCGTTTGAGAACGTATTGGAGCGATTTAAGAAACACACCCTTTGTTTTAGGTTACGGCACCCCAACTGATTATAATCCTCCGTCTTTCTCTTCGGGACCTGGACATCATCACAGCCACGGACACGATGAGAATCAAGTGGTAAGTTTTATAGATACTAGTGGTCCCATGGTAGTCGAAATTCGACTGTAATTAATTAAAATTATAAGTTTGTACACTATTATCATAGATTATACACTTAACTATTATGAGTCTATTGTCAAAGAATTATTATACTTCTATAATCACAGATTTCGCCAAGACTACACTTTAGGTAAATATTAATAAAGACAAACAATATTTAATCTATTCTCAATTTGACCACAGACGTCAAGAACAAAAGTTTGACAATAAATAAATAGTATGCATGCGTGTGTGCGTCATATAATGGTATGTAGTGTGTGTAATGTTTTTTTTTATTGATTTAACGTATGTTTTATGCATAATTAAAAAAAAATAGCATTGTGCACTCCTCTATATTCTCTATAAGTGTGGGAAATTTCATACTCCTCTGTCCGCGCAATTTTCGAAAAAAGCGATACAAAGTTTTTCCTTCACGTATTAATATATAGATTTGACAAACAATTTACAATTTTAATACGCCTTTATTAGCTTCATACGTATGTTAGTATGTAACGGAATCTTTGAACATGATTTTGGACCCCTTCAAAACGTCGGATTAACTCGAAATTTGGCATACTTATTAGGGATCGATGACAATTCAGTATTTTAAACAGTTTGATCCGTTATCCTTACTAGGATATTCAGGCAGGATTTTTTATTTCCTGAGATCCGAAGTGTCTGCGTCAAAACCAAGAAGGGAAACCACCGGGCGCGCCGATCACTTATTTCTCAGATAAGATATCGATTGATTAAGATGAAATTTTTGAAAAATTGTAAAATACTAATTGAAAAAATGGAAATTCAACTAAAAAATGAAAAATAAATAATAGTTTTGAAAAGTTGAAAAAAATACGTTTTTATAGAAAATCCATCATGGTATCAATCAATTTTGATAATATCCTGAAAAGCACCCCACGCTCTTTTAAACTATAAAATATTTTTTTCTTACTACTATTTTTTCGTTGGATTTTCTATAAAAGCGTATTTTTTTAAACTATTATTTATTTATATAATTCTTTTTTTTCATCATGAGATTAGTACTAGGGTTTCACAAAGTTATTTAAAGATAAATATCGCCTATTAAGGTGTATACATATGTTTTTTTTTTATTGCCCTTATTGGCAGACGAGCATACGGCCCACCTGATACAGAGTGGTTATCGTCGCCCATGGACTTCAGCAATGCTAGCATAGCCGAGCCGCTGCCTACCGATATGATTGGAATTTGAACTCTAACTGGGCGGCTTTAAGACCATGTCAAGGGGAGAAAAGCTATTTGGTTTAAGTGACATTTTGCTTAACACGCGACATTTATCTTTGTAATTAAAGGTCCGTTTTATTTGATACTAGCGACCCGCCCTCGCTTCGCTTTGGAAACATTAAAACACACATGAAACAAAAAAAAAATTAAAAAAAAATTAAAAAAAGTAGCCTACGTTCATCAGGGACAATGTGGGCTTCTAATGGAAAAATAATTTTTCAAATCGGTCCAGTAGTTTCGGAGCCTATTCGAAACAAACAAACAAACAAATCTTTCCTCTTTATAATATTAGTATAGATCAGCATGAACGGTTTGATGTTTTTAATTGAACTACAATTAAGTTTACCCTATTTTAATAGCCGAGATTTATTTTTCTTATGATATTTTCAATTATAATCTTTAAATGGCTCTCTTGTAAAGTTGCAAAAATGTCGCTTAAACCAAATAGCCTTTCAACCTCGATGTTATATCGATAGTCGAAACTAATTTAACTCTGGTGTGACGACATAAAACTATTGATTAACGAAAACATTGGAAATCATTAATAAAATGAATCTTATACCTTTAATATATCCTATAACGAGCAATTCTTGTAGGTATATATATATATATATATATATATATAATCTGAATTTCGGAAACGACTCCAACGATTTTCATAAAATTTAGTATACAGGGGATTTCCGGGGCGATAAATCGATCTAGCTACGATTTATTTTCAGAAAATGTTGTTTTATTCGCGTTTTCAATAATCAACTCTTCCCGACATCTATTGGCGAATAATAATACTATTTTTCTTAATTGAGGGCAACTAACCACTTTAAATTCTCTAAGGTTTGTTCTTCATATTACTGTATACTCTACTCGACAAGTTCGCGTTTCATCTGATATTAAGCAATATCATATAAGAATGGTCCATAGACCACAACTTCAATGGTGTTACCCACCTTACGGCCTTAAGTTCAGGTCAGTTACTCACAACAATACTATCACCAATTAAAGTGCCATCAATATCCAATAAAACAGACAATTTATCATCACATAAAAACATCCCTGTGTACACGAATATTTTATAGTTCATATAACAAACTCTGATTGAAAACAAAAACCGATAACGTCCGATCAACTTCTCCCGTACAAATTGTAAACTTGATAAGACACTATTGGCCTTAACCTGTATATAGCGTCGTCGAGCGAATAAAAGATATCGCCGTAATCACCAAAAGTCATACTTCTAGGGGCGAAATCGAGACGGGCAACTCTTGTTGCTGTTCCATTCTCGCAATCGATATCATACAAGCCTTCTTCGGTGACGGCAAACGTCTTCTCCTCGTGTACAATAAAATTGTTAACGATATCCAAATCTTTGTTCTTGATAACTTCGCCGTTCTCAATGGCGCAGTATAAGCCGCACAACGTGACATAATGGACATTACCTCGCTCGTCTACGTCAAATTCAACCACAGTTTTCCCGTTTCTCATTCTGATCGTTGCCTTTCCGTGGTCGTAGACTTTGTAAATCATATGATTGTTGGCATCGAGCAAATACATTTGGTTGTTCCTCACGACTAGTTTCATTATATTCACATTGTACAGTCCGATATTTGTAGCTTCGTTGGTTATTGGATCGTATTTGTATAGTCCGTCGGTTGTACCGAAATACACCTCGCCGGTTTCAGAATCAACAGCTATGGCTTTGTTCTTTTCAATACCATCGATCTTCATTGCTCGTTTCGTTATGATATTGATGTAGGCCCTGCCCGAATTCTGTAGAGCATCATCCATGTACATGAAATAAAGGTTTCTGCTCGACGAGTCATATGTCAATTCTTTTGGCGCCTGGTATAGGTCTGTTAATAGTTCTTTCTTGTACAATCTCGTCCCTATTATCTGTAGCGGTGTATCAGTCAGATAGATTCGTATTTTCGCTTCTGCACTCGCGACAATTAACATTACTAAATATTTCATGAGCATTTTGTACGTTTGCCGTACTACGTTTCGTGTTTAATACTGCCACATCATTGTTATGTTTTGATCCGTTATCTACTTATGCCGCGTTACAAATTGCGTTTTGCTGTCATTTCACGCTTTTTATAAACGATTCGGCGTCTTAATCACTTGGAATAAGGTCGTTGTTGATTCCAGTTGACGATATGAGGATGGTCGCGTCATATAAAATGGTCAGCCGGGGTAAATAAGCAAATTGGTACAAACAACTGAACAGGTCATTGCTGGAGTTTGGTCTGAGATTTGAATTAGATTTCAGGGTTACAAGCCTAAGCATAAATTTTATTGGTGTTTATAAACGGATAGCAGGCACATAGACACATATATTTGCCAATTTACCTTGAGATCAACCGTCGGAATTCCTATAAACTAAAAAGCAAAACAGAATGAGGATATTGAAGAAATATCCTGTGATCCAACCGAAGATTTACGATAGATCTGCACTAAAATAACGCAAACGCACCTAATAATAACGACCCCTGAAATTTGGCACCCATTAAGTACCGCCCGTTTCATAAAATTATAATTTTAAGCTTTTGTATTAAACTTAGAGCAGTGATTGATTTAAAAAATATTTAGATGTATTTATATTGCAAATGCACATCACTTTCTTGTGTGCCTAAAGCAATAAATTAAAGAATAATTGGCTATTTCGTCGTTGGAGTACGGAGACAGCGTAAACGTCATAGTGACCCGGTCCCGATTACGTAAGTATACTCTTTTGGTTTTTACTAAAAATTATAATCGTAAAGCATTCTAACTATCTATATATTAATACGTGAAGCAAAAACTTTGTATCCCTTTTCACGAAAATTGCGCGGACGGAGGAGTTTGAAAGTTTCCACACTTATAGAGAATATAGAGAAGGAGTGCACAATGCTAATATTTTTTTTAAATAATGCATAAAAGATACATTAAATCAATAAAGAAAACATTACACACACTACATACCATGTATTTGACGCACACACGCATGCATACTATTTATTGTAAATTTTTTTTCTTGACGTCTGTTGTCAAATTGAGAATAGATTAAATATTGTTTGTGTTTATTAATATTTTTTTATAGTGTAGCCTTAGGTAAATTTGTGATTATAGAAGTATAAAATACAATCATAATAGTGTACAAACTTACAATTCCAATTAATTATAGTCGAATTTCGACTACTGCGGGACCTCTAGTATTTATAATTTGACCTATCCTACTTACCAATTACGTAAATGGAGCGTCTGGGAATTCAAGGCAAAGGTTGAAGACGAATTAATTTTGTTAGTCTGCAACCAGACGGCCCTTGTTAGCCTTGTTTATTGCTGACCCTTGTTATCACATATTTTGCTGGAAAATCATTAAAGGATTTTTGAAAAAAAGTATCTTATACCTTTCATTTTAACTTAAAAAATATGAAAATTAATGCTAAATACACAGAAAAATAATTTTAAATGGCCATCATTCCCGATCCTGCGGACAGAATGGAAAGCAGTCGACGTTGCTCCAAACACGTCATTTCGGATCCTCCCGATCTACTAACGGTGCTTCTAGGTACCTCAAGCACCGGTCATCGTCCTCGCCGAAACCGTCGCTTGCGACGAAGGGCTCAACGAGTAAATTAACCCTCAGACACAGCCCACTGAGTTCCTCGCCGGATCTTATCAGTGGGTCGCGTTTCCGATCCGGTGGTAGATTCTGCGAAGTACGGCTCTTGCTAGGGTTCGTGTTAGCAACGTCATCAGGTTTGAGTCCCGTGAGCTCACCTACTAGTTAAGGCAACGCTGATATAGCCTCTCAAGGCTCTCAGCTTAGGTAGGAAAAAAAAATGGCTATGCACGCGCTATGATTTGTCCGTTTTTTTATGATTGAAGGATTTAGATACTGGTTGGATCGGAAGCCTTTCCAATTTCACCAGGACAGGCAGGCGAGTACTGGTGGTAGGACGTCTTGTTAATCCGCAAGTGTTCTCAGATCTCTTAGCATTACTACGGCAGCCCTACCCCTCAAATCGTTCTACCACCAGTAACTGGTGGTGAGTCCGCACGGGTAGATACCACCATCCTGCCTATTTCTGCAGTGAAGCAGTAATGCGTTTCGGTTTGAAGGGTGGGGCAGCCGTTGTAACTATACTGAGACCTTAGAACTCATATCTCAAGGTGGGCGGCGGCATTTACGTTGTAGATGTCTATGGAATCCGGTAATCACTTAACACCAGGTGGGCTGTGAACTCGTCCACCAATCTCTAAATAGTCGGTAGTCCGACGCTCCGCACTTTATACGAATTAATAGATAGTCGATATATTGACGATTCGCACAGTATTCCATTTAAACAGAAGCATAATTATTCGAAACGTGAGTTAAAGTCACAATAAGACAATTAAGGTTTCCGGTTTTAATTCTAGAAAATTGATTCAATCATTTATTTAATTTTTTATTTGTCGTCTTGTTTCATTAAATTTATCGGTGTGTAGCTAACGTCCTTTAATATCCTTAATAGGTGTTAATAAGAATATCCTGAACGATTCATCATCGTAATGCCTAAGTACTGTGGAATGTGTGAGCAAAGTTTCTTTGGCATTTTCCTTATAAAAATCATGAACTTTTTTTAAGGGATTTTATGACCTGGTAACTAAGACCTTTAGGTCATATCTTATTTTAATTTATACCTATTCTTATTTTTATGATAATATGGAGTGAAATGAAATGAAGATGATTAATTTGAGACATTAATCAGCTGGGATGAAATTAAATGAAATGATATGGGATGAAATATAATCTCAGTAAAATGGTGGTCATTTACTGAGATTTTTTCAGTGGAATTTTTGGAGGATCCCGAGAAGTTACGTCCAGCAGCTTTGTTTCATTTTCCCACATTTGTACACTTTCACCGATACTAAACAGTTAATAAGCCACTGTTATTACACATTTAAACCTGAAGAAACACTAAATAGACAAAATAAAACAAATCGCACAACTTCGCTCCTCGCGTTCCCGCCAAAAAGTCAATTTAATCATGATGACATGAAACGCTGTCCTACCTTCATTATGGCGTTACCTTCCGATCATATCGATTCCGAATATAAATCCGAATTGCCCAGGGACCCGTCCAAACACACACAAAGTTTCATAAAAATCGATAAACCCTCTTAGGAGGAATCCGTGATAAATCCATGTTAAGAAAAATATATTGTCTCAAAAGGAGCGGCTATATTTTTTGATTTCTTTTATTTATTGCGTAGACGAGTGGAGGAGCTTTATCTTTTCTCTATCTCGCTCTAACTTTGGGATGGACATTCAGTTTTAGGGGTCCAGCTGTGTTTGTTATTAACTCATCTGTTTTTTTCAATATCCTCAATTTCTAATATATTCAATGAGAGACAGTGACTTGACTCTGGAATTACTATCATCCATGAGCGACGGTAACCACTCACCATCTGGTGGGCCGTATGCACGTCTGTCTATAAAGGCAATAAAAAGCTACCTACTTAGTGTAAGAAGTGTGAAAGTTTGTGAAGTTGTTTGCATGTTTTTTTTTTGATTGACGCTTAAGCGCTAGAACAGGTTTGGATGAAAATTTGCATATTTAGATAGATCACTTCCTGAATGAACACGTGCGATACTTTTTATTTTGGTAATGTCTCCCGTTGGAATATTACTTTAAAAAAATAATAATTCTGAACTTCATCAATAAATGGAATAAATGGGATGTTGCGGTAGGCAGCGGCTTGGCTCTGCCCCTGGCATTGCTGAAGTCCTTGGGCGACGGTAATCACTCACCATCAGGTAGGGCCGTAGCTCGTCTGCCTACAAGGGCAATTAAAAAAAATAGAAAACTTAACCTATACACACAACTCACTAAGTTTCTCGCTGGATCTTCTCAGTGGGTCGCGTTTCTTAGATTCAACGAAGCACCGCTCCTACTACCTAAAGCTAGTGATAGCAAATTCTCTCTCATTACCCGTCCGCGCAACGCTGGAATGATCATTAGGCTATCCGCGAATTCGTAGTGAAAAAAATTCGATCAAAACAAGCTACTTTTTATACTGGAAAATTTAAATGTATCTAATATAACGAATTCGTCTAGTCTTAATATATTTATATTACGTGTCACGCTGTTTGTCCGCGATGAACACCAAAACTACTGAACCGATTTTAACTTCTTTATTTTTAAATATGTGTTTTGTTCCAACTTAGGCCATAGGATGGTTTTTATTTCGATTAATGGTCGCAATATTTATTAATTAACAATAAAATGATTTCTTATTATGTTGATTATTGTTATTAATTGTAAGTTTCATAAGTCTAAAACAGATGGCGCCTTAAATCAGTTTTTACAGACAATTGTAATACTGTCTGACATTGAAATCTCATAGATGGCGCTGTGTTAAAAATACCAACGTTTCACATAAGCTACAATTTAATGGCATAAACACCACGTGTTGCTGAGGCTAAAGTATAAGTGAATTTTATTTCGTAGTAAACGCAATACAGTGAAATCCAATTGTTCTTACTTTGTTAATTTTTTGGTATTAGCATAGCCGGCCACGTGTTATTTAGATACAAAAACCTTAGCCACAGCAACGTGTAGCCGGGTCTGCTAGTAAGTATAAAAAAGATATTTGTATGGTTGCTGATCAATACCGTCTTTACCATAAGGGCACACGGGGCCCGTGCCCAGGGCCCCCATTCTCAGGGGGCCCCGAAGGACCGACAATATCTCTCACACATTTATTCTCAAAACATTTTTATCGTGCACATTACACTTTTTTCACAAATCAGTAATCTTATCAGAAGGTATTTAGGTAGGAAGGTAAGGTATTTACAAGGCATATACTACGCTATATATTACGCTATATAATAATATTTCCGAACGCATCCTACCTAACTTACTAAGTACACCATCTAGCGATCACGATAACGGTTTCCGTTATCGTGATCGTAAAAACCAGAAGCAAAAAACCAGAAGCATTCTAATATCATTAATGACATATTATTATA